CATGTCACATTAAAACACTGCACGCATGTGACATAAAAATACTGCACGCATGTGACATAACAATACTGCACGCATCTGACATAAAAACACTGCACGCATGTCACATTAAAACACTGCACGCAAGTCACATGAAAACAATGCGCACATGTCACTACACACTGCATGCATTCTGCATGAAAACATAGCACACATGCACGCATGTTACACGGAGATACTCAACGCAAGTCATATGCAAACAATGCACGCATGTCGCATTAAAACAGTGCATGCATTCTGCAAGAAAATATTCAACACATAAAAACATTGCTGACATGTACCCTTGCTTCTTTAACTTGTTTGGAGAAAGTTTCCCAATCAGGCCACGTTGCTTCTCCAATCTCTTGCCATGCATGTTGCCTGATTCTCCTTTTCTTGTAATTGGCATGTCTCATGTCAAAGAGACATGGTCTCGCCTGCACCAGGCGTATGAATGCCTCAGAATCCAGGAGACCACATGCTGTAGAATCCTCCATCTTTTTCTGCTTCTTGCTCACCCAACAACTTCTGCAGATGGGAGGGGTCTGTAGCCATGTGCGGAACACGCGATTTCTGCTATGAAAACGCCCAAACACTCATTTCAGCCTGTTCCCGTTGAAGTCTATGGGCGCGAACACGCTACAAAATGGCCCAATACGCCGCAAAGAAGCTCCTGTACCTTTTCAGGCGTAGGCCGTTTTGTATCGCGTTCAGACGGGCGGAAATACGCCAAGGTGTGAACCAGGCCCATTGAATACAATGGGATTTAGATGTTTGAGCGTTTTGTAGAGCGTTCGTCGAGCGTTGAACGCGCTACCAAACGTTCAGGTGTGAACCAGGCCTAACTCTCCTTCCTGAGACTGAGAGTGACGCCTGGAGTTAGGTGTGGCACTGCTGGGCTATGATGTAATGCTGTATAAAAATAATAATGACACCTGAGCATGTCCCCCTGGTGTCATTATTATTATGTCCCCCCAGTGTCATTATTATTATTATGTCCCCCAGTGTCATTATTATTATTTCCCCCAGTGTCATTATTATTATTATGTCCCCTGAGTGTCATTATTATTATTATGTCCCCCCAGTGTCATTATTATTATGTCCCCCAGTGTCATTATTATTATTATGTCCCCCCAGTGTCATTATTATTATTGTGATTTTTAGGTCTCCTGGTGTCATGATTGTTATCTCCGTCCCCCAGTGTCATTATTGTTATGTCTGTCCCCCGGTGTCATTATTGTTATGTCTGTCCCCCGGTGTCATTATTGTTATGTCCATCACCTGGTTTCCCGGTTTCATTATTGTTCTGTCCATCCCCTGGTTTCATTATTGTTTTGTCCATCCCTGTTGTCATTATTGTTATGTCCATCCCTGTTGTCATTATTGTTATGTCCATCCCCGTTGTCATTATTGTTCTGTCCGTCCCCGTTGTCATAATTGTTATGTCCATTACCTGGTGTCATTATTGTTATGTCGATCCCCTGGTGTCATTATTGTTATGTCCATCCCCTGGTGTCATTATTGTTATGTCCGTCCCCCTGGTGTCATAATATCTCCATCCTCTGGTGTCATTATTGTTATGTCCGTCCCCCTGGTGTCATAATATCTCCATCCTCTGGTGTCATTATTGCTATGTCTGTCCCCTGGTGTCATTATGGTGATGACGTGTGTGTGTGTCCCGCCCCCGGGTGTTGCCTGGTGTCATTATGGTGATGACACCAATCAGAAATTCTGTGCATGCGCAGTAGCAGGCTGAGGGCCGATCACACTGCCGCTGTGCACACAGGAGACGTGGGCAAATCCTGGAGAGCGGTATCTGGCCGAGGGACTGGTACAGTAATGAATGCTGCTAAGGATCTATGTGAGGGGAATGAGGTGTTTGCAGGGTGGGGGTCGTGTCGCCATATTGTCAGATCTGTTTGGCCGGCCTCGATGCCGATTGGCTGGGAAGCCGGCTTCCCGGCCAATCAGCATCGAGCCGACCAAACAGAATGGAGTCGGCTTCCCGGGCAATCAAGAAGCTGGGCAGTGGGTAATGACATGCCACCTGGCTACCTGATTGCCCGGGAAGCCGGCTCTTTGCTACTGGAAGTACCGGTATCAGTACTCGGTATGGGCGAGTACCGAAATATAAATATCGGTACTCGATACGGAAAACCGGTATCAGTGCATCCGTAGTGATGATTACTATTATTATTTTAAAATAATAATAATGACACCGGGGGACAAGGACATAGTAATAATAATGACTCCAGGGGACATAATAATAATAATGACTCCAGGGGACATAATAATGATAATGACACCAGGGGACATAATAATGACATGGGGGAGAGGGGACATAATAATAATGACACGGGGGGGGGACATAATAATTATAACAATAATTACACCAGGGGACATGCTCAGGTGTCATTATTATTATTGTTGCTATTCTATGCAGTGGAAGTGGTAGGTGGCGAATTATCCACACATTTACCATGAAAGTAGAATTATGGGGAGAGTGAAATGCGCTCTTCCCCCTAGTTACTGAAGCTGCCACAGGTTGGCTCTCTTGATCGAGAACTGAGCGATCACATACCGCTGATCACTCAGTTCCTGCACTCACTCTCTCTGCAGAGAGCGGTGACTGTCAGTCACGGCTCCTCGCAGGAATACCCCCCCTCCCCTCTCTGATCCTCCAATGCTGACTGGAGGGATGGATGGGGCGGACACAACCTCTAGAGAGGTAGAGTCAGCTGTCAATCAGGTGGTGGGGTGGATCTGGACAATATTTTTTGGATCCATCCCAGCTGCAGCCCTGCTCTGCTATGTCAGCATATAGCGGGCAATATTGCATGGGGGCGTGGTGAGGGGCCCAAGAAAATGTTTGCCCGGGGTCCACTCAAGTTTAAAGACGGCCCTGATCACGCCCCAGAGTTCCTACTTAAAAATTGGGGTGAGAACGGACTCAGAATGTCCTAAATGTGGCATTGAGCCTGGCTCTCTTATACACCTTCTGTGGCGCTGTCCCAAGCTGGTGAGATACTGGAATAATGTTGTGAATTGTATCTGCTCTACTTTCATGATCCAACTCCCCTGTTCTCCACTTGCCTGCCTAGGGGTATTTGACGCCTCGGCATAGGATGACCTCACTGTGATTGCTGTATCTAGGGCCCTATTTGCAGCGTGGAGGGTCATTGCTCTCATGTGGATGTCCTATACTGTCTCGTCAGCAGGGGCCTGGATGGAGAAGTTGGATCGTCTCCTAACACTGGAAAAACTCACTTATCAGCACAGGAGCAATGTATCCAAATTTTATGCCATTTGGGACAGATCGCTGAACAGGCCAGCATCTCTTGTTCCTGCCACTTAGGTCATTTTTTGACACCCCTCCATGCTCTCACTCTGCATACCATGACTGGCTATGTTGATAGTGAGAACTACACTCCTATGTGTGTGGGTTTCTGATAGATCTTGATGGGATGCAAGCTATGAACATGTCACGCACATGTTACTTATGATGTTCAGGCACATTGGCGCACAATGACAATGGTGCTATGACTTGATATATTTCTTTATTGTGGTATAAATTATTATTTTTCTCCCCTGGTTTCCATTCATTTGTTTGATGCATGGTTGCTGGTACATGTAAATGTATTCTTGGTGGCTCCTTTTGTTGCTGAGCCTTATGTTTATTGTTATGTAAACTTGAAAAACCTTTAATAAAAAAACTATCTGATTTAAAAAAAAAGGGCTAAGCTGGATTTACGCCCCAGGAAAAAAGTTACATTAGTAGAGATCTACTAAAAGGATGGCTAATCCTTAAGTAATTAAGTATCCAAACCCTCAGGATAACTGGGTCAATGATCTGGATGATGACTCCAACAGTCATAATATAATTGCTAAATGTATGTTATCCATTTCAATTGGGGTTAAAACAGCCACTCATGTATGCCTGGTAATCAGTGAGCCACGGTGTCATATCTACATTGGCAACTATATATTACATTGCTTTTCCATACACATGGATCTGGTAAATTCCACATTGTGAACTAGATTAAAAGGGGATCCATGTAGTTTTATGGATGAACATGAAGCCATCAGATCATCCCAGATACTGCCATATGCAGTCAGTATATTAGTACCACATAATGTTATTATCCCTCCAGGTACCAATAATTTTCTGTTACCTATTCAGGTATCAAAAGAATCCTGATGCATTAATTTGCCTCTCAAACAGGATGCAACAACTAGGAATTTCAGTAAATCCTACACCCATGGTAAATATCAATGAATTAAAAACCCAAATAATCATTAATAATGTAACTTCAAATGAAGTCTCTTTGTCTAAAGACATTATAATTGGTTTGGCTTTAGATTCAGATCATTACACTTTTGGGTTTCAAAATGCAATATTTGGCCTGATACCTGAACAATATCTCACTGAGGAGCAAATAGTTGATCAAACATTTTATTCTTCTCCTGAAGGATTGTTCACCCATAACTCAGTTTATCCTTTCAATCCTGAAGAAGGTACCTGCATGGTGGAGGAATCCTCCCTTACCTTTGATCATGAGCGGGAAGCCGAGGAATATCGTCAGTTTACCGAAAAGGCTAGTAAGTCAAACAATGACCTCACTGACAGGCTTGAGGGAGCCTATGAAATAGGTTGACCTGAAATTTTTCCTGGATTTCAGGAAATGGTTCAGCAACAAATATCCTTAGCTGATGGATCATCTAATGACCTAGAGCGCCAACAGGTAAAAGAAGTTCTTATGGAATACAAGGACATATTTGCTAAAGATTTCTATGATTGTGGTCTAACAGACATACACATAGCCAGGATTCAGAATGATCCCCCGAGGCACCTCCTGTTTATATCAAGCAGTATCGACTTCCCCTAGTGTGTTATGATTCGCTAGTAGAAATGATAAGGAACCTCAAAGAAAGAGGTGTTATAAGACCGTTGCACAGTTCTTATTTTAATCCCATTCTTGGTATCCTTAAACCGAATGGTCAATGGCGTTTATGTGCTGACCTAATTAAGAAACTAATTAGATGGTTAATTATGTTCAAGAGGGGAGTATATTAGGTTTGCTTATCCCAGCACGTTCACCCTCCTTGAAAAAGTTGTGGTTACAAAATGCGTAGGAGGCGATACAGCACGAGGCTAATTGGAGTAATTTCTCGGATATAGTACTGATGATTTTTAACATTTATGTAAGTGTTTTTATATTTTAATACAAATTTTACATGAGATACTACACTATATACTATCCCTTTTCTTATGGGGTTGATCGATTAACTGATTGGAAGCATTTTGTGGTGTTCGTTGGATTTGAGAGAGAGAGAGAGAGAGAGAGAGAGAGAGAGAGAGAGAGGAAGATGGAGTCCATGAGAGGCAGCTGACGGGAATAACAAAGAGATCATGCTCACCGAAAATACAAATTGAACATTTAAATGCATGGTCAGAACTTTCTGGTGAGTGCATAGATTTATTGTTATGACATCGTATGAGATCGTAACATCTTATCATATGAAATTTGTGGGCACTTTCTACTACAGTGTGGGAATTGTAAAGATTTGAAAGACTCTAGACTTTCAATTTAATCACAGCCAAGGTTAATTGGTTATCAGTTACTTGTTGCACGGGACACACGCAAGAACTACTTTGTACGGGATTTTTCTTCTTGATTGAAGTCTGAACTTTGGAGAATCGTTATATGTTACACGTTGCTACATTTGTTATTTTTTATAATTTATGACAAGCTTTGTTGAATAGTTGTTTTGAATTGTCACACATTACCAGCGCGTTGCATTAGTTTTGAGATTATTTTTGCACTGTGGTTGGCACGGCAGCAGGGTTATACATTTCCCTAGATTTATTTATCTATTTATTTAGTTTTTGGTTTAATTATATCCGGATAGCGCAGAAAAATATATATAACGGAAATTACACATTGCCTATGGTCAGCATCTAACGGAGCAGAAGAGCGCTATAACCAGACAATTATCAACATCCTTAAGAAATTTGTTAAAGAGTCAAGTAAAGACTGGGATGTGAAGTTGTCTCTAATGCTCATGGGTATTAGAGCTATACCAAGTTCTGACGTCACGGACACCGACGTCACCAGACTCCTCCCCCTTCCCTTCGTTGGCCGACAGAGCCACTTGGGGAAGGGGGAGGAGTCCGGTGACGTCGATGTACGTGATGTCACCGGATCTCCGACGGAAGACCCGGAAGACGGCGGAGAGGTGAGTACCGATCAAAAGAATTTTGATCGATCAAAAAAATTTACGATTAATCAAAGCATTTATCGTTAATTTCCGCAGCCCTAAAAATGTACTATGAATGCTATTCGCACAGAGCAAACATTCACAAATATTGGCAGGGTAGATGGCTCTATGAATTGTTTATAAATAGACAACCTGTATATGTAAATCAGATCAAGTATTTTGTGTACGATACAAACTAGATACACATCCCCTTGTTTTGAACCCTTATAATGTTACAGACAACTTGCAAGTTATGTTTATGTGCAACCAGGCATATTATCTAATTCATATCATATTCCTGCTACCTGATAGATGGCCGAACACAACTGAATTACTCACTCAAATGTTTCACTTACTAACTCATGAAATGTTGATATGGAATGTCAAGAAATGTTGATATAGAAGCAAGAAAACAAACATTTACAGGGTTATTCACAAAAGGGTGAAGAGAAGGCAATCTAGGACAAAATAGCTGATTTGGAAAAATTCTCCAGTTCAGCTCACTTTCCACATCAGCTATATTGTGCTAGATTGTTCACTTCTCCTGCATTCTCCAGACTCTTCACCCTTTTGTGAATAACCCTGTTAATAAAAGGAAATATTAAATCTAGTTGCAGTTGCACTAGTGCAATTTAATACTAATAACATTAGCTTACCATTTTCTTGAGGTTCAGTCATCAAGTATTCAATCATTTTGTTCATTGAAGCCATGAAGAAAATTATCCGAAGCTGTGTCATCATCATAGTTATAAGTGAGAATAGGAAGATGGGGGAGCGAGCACTTTGTACGAATGTAGGCAAAGGTGCTGAAGATAATAGAAAATAATACATCATGTTACTCAATTTGAAGTGACAAATTAAAGAGGACGTTATGCTATATCTTTGAAATTACAACAAATACACCTTTAGAAAAGTTTGGTAATGGCAATGTACAAACAGATACTTATAGATAATTGCAGGTATTTTTTATTTTTTTATTAGCGATACACCGATACCCATACCAGTATTGGTGCTGATACTGGGCATTTTCACAAGTACCGTTACTCGTGAAAATGCCCCTATACCAAGCGCAGATACCGGCACTTTAGATTTTTAAACACGAGTGGCTGCCTGAGGTCCTTTGCTTGCTAGGGGACCTCAGGCAGCCTGCTGGGGACCTTGCAGCAGCTGTCTTTTTCAGCGCTGGTCTGGCCGCAATTTCCTCCTCCTCCTCCTTCCCTCCATCCAAATCCACCCAAACAGCCATGGGGAGACCCGGAACAGCCCTGGTAAGAACTGCATCACCCACACCCTGGTGACACTGCACAGCCCTAGTAAGATCTGCACGCAGCCCTGTTGACACTGTAGAGGCCTAGTGAGACCTACATGCAGCCCTGATGACACTGCATGCAACCCTGGTGACACTGCACAGCCGTGGTGACAATGCACTGCCATGGTGAGATGCATACACAGCCCTGCTGAGACCCATACACAGCCCTGGTGACACTGCACAGACATGGTGAGACCCGTACGCAGCCCTGGTGAGACCCATATGTAGCCCTGGTCAGACCGCACAGCCCTGGTGAGACCCGCACGCGGCCCTGGTGAGACCACACATGCAGCCCTGGTGAGACAGCACAGCCCTGGAGAGACCCTGAACAGCCCTGGTTAGACCAGCATGCAGCCCTGGTGAGACTCATACGCAGTACTGGTCACACTGCATAGCCATAGTGAGACACATACACAGCCCTGGTGACACTGCACGGCCCTGGTGAGACCCGCATGCAGCCATGGTGAGACTGCACAGCCCTAATAAGACTGCACAGCCCCGATGAAACCCGCACAGCCCTGGTTAGACCCCACAAAGCCCCGGTGAGACTCTGCACATCCTCCTGAGACCCCACACAGTCCGGGAGATACCCTGCACAGCCTTGGTTAGACCCTGCACAGCCTCCTGAGATGCTCCACAGCCCTGGTGAGCAACACAGAGTATGTAGTATAAATTATTCTGCAATGCTGTATAATGGATTGCTGGGATTTGTGCCCCTATATAGTTGATGGTATTCTGCATTGCTGTATAATGTGTTGCTGGGATATGTAGTTCTTTATAGCTTTTGGTATTCTGCATTATTTCATAGTGTATTACTGGGATTTGTCATCTCTTTACAGCTTGGTGTCAGTGGCAGAACTACCAGGGTCACATTGGTTGCAGCTGTGACTGGGTCCTGGTGCTCCAACACTGTCCTAAAATCATTAGTCTGTATTGCTTTGAAAAAACTGTCACAGCAATTGGTATCGGCGAGTACTTGAGGAAAAGTATCTGTACTTGTACTCAGTATTAAAAAAAATGGTATCAGTGCATCCCTACTTTTTATTCTTTGCACACCCTTCTGCCCTCAACAGGCAGGAATTATAGGCTTACCTACCTGCATTATCAAAATTTGTCACAAAATGGAGCTGAAGAGAAAAACCTTTTTTACAGGAGCTTAGACTGTTTTCTCTTTGGTAAAACTCCCAGTGCCCTTCTGCTCAAAGAATAGGAAACAAGAGCATTCTGGGACTTTCAACCTCCATTTTAGAGGAGAAGAAAATTCACTGCCATTGTAGCATGTGTCTGGAAGAAAGTGCCCAAATTCCCTTAAGCAGCATCCCTGGTATGGATGGACTTCTGTCTGTGTATATTTGTTAACTGACACTATATTTACATGTTGATATACTGATTGCATGTTTCTATGTTCTTTTACCAATTTCACCCCACCCTGTTTTGTTAAAAATAGCATCAAGATTTCACCCAGTGTGGCTTATTGCAGAATACAAGGGTTTAGCTACATGTAGAGCTACACAGGCCACAGGGTAACATATATCGGGGACAGAACAGTGAAACAGGGACTACCCAGCAAGTGGGATACAGAACAGTAACTACATAGAGGCCCGCTACACATCAGTGCCGCCACCTGGATATGACAATACAGCAGTCTCTACACAGTCAAGCACCTCCAGAAGCAACATGTCACATAGTCAGGCATCTTCACTTAAAACAAGGTCCTAAGTATTTGGCTCCTCTAGATCAGAGGTGGGGAACCTCCAGCCCTCCAGCTGTGGTGAAACTACAGATCCCATGGGGCATTGCAAGATTCTCAGTCACGATTCCCAGAGACTGATACATTATGGAATTTGTAGGTTCCCCACCCCTGCTCTAGATCCTCATCTGCCAGTGCTGCACTTGCCTGAGGCCTCTTGCCTCAGAGGCACAAGAACATGCAAAAGTTGAAACCGCAAAAGCCAGAACAGCCTTTGCCAAGCAAGAAATGCAAATGTAAAAGAGAAAGCGTGGTTAGAGGCTGAGAAGGTGCAGCAAGAGATGCAGTTAGAGGCTGAGAAGGTGCTGCAAAAAGCACAGATAGAGGATGAGAAGATACAGGAAGAGGCGTAGTTAGAAGCTGAGAAAGTGAACTTAGAAGCAGAGAAGATGCAACAAGAGGCACAGCTAGAGATTGAGAAGATACAAGAGGTGTGTTGGAAGCTGAGAAAGTGTGGCTGGAGACTAAGAAGGTGCAGTACAAGGCATCTATGGAGCAGCAGAAAGCCCTTCTAGAAGCAGACCTAGAGAGACTTGCTATAGAGAGGGAAGCAGCAGCTGCTGTAGCAGTAGCAGATGCCTTAGAATTAGCCATATACGTGAATTCAGCAGATGCAGCAATGTACTTGGCCCAGAAGCTGAAACTCAAGATCCTTTTCAACCCACTTCAGATTACGTCTATCAACACGCCAAAGCCAAGTAGCAACAAAGACAACATCAAGGTGTTCCATGGCATCACCATAAGTCAGCAACAAAACCCAAGTCTGCAAACAAGAGAACTAGAAGCAAAGTGACATTTAATATGACAGACACCTTACAGACAAAGTACCAGAGTCTACAAATTATCCTCAGGAATCAGGCTTCACACCAGAATGGCATGACAGGGGCCGGCTTCAATTTGAGATTTCTAAAAGGTCTGATTACACACAACCTTTCCACCACAGCAATTACAGCTGATTAATCAAGTCATAATAGACTTTGCTAGAGCACAATCTTCATCAACAGATTTTACCCTCAAAACAGGATTTATATATTAGTTCATAAGGATTACATAATTTTTTAACACAAACATTAGGGTTATTTATTGGCGATATTAGGATTACACAATTTTTTAACACTAATATTAGGAATATTTATTGGGGATATTTTCTAAGTCGGAATAACCCCCTCAATAGACCACTAGTAGATATATTTAAATATCTATTTATTTATTAGGTAGGATTGGAGTAGAAGGGCCTGTTATCAAATGAGGGTTAAGTTAGCAAAATAGACATAAGGGGAAATTGATGATTGGTAAATTAAGAAGTGAAACATGTAGATATGTAATTTTAATACAAGACTAAATGCATATAGAGGGTCTTACTAGTATGATGGTTCCAGATTTTGGTGACCTTGTTTTGTGTTATTACCTTATTTGTGATTGATATTGTTCTAAGTGTTTAATGGATATTTGTATTTAAAATCCAATAAATGTATATGTTAAAAATAATAGACTTTGCAGAGTTTTTTGTGTGATATGTGGCAATGCGTGGCAATACCACGGTGTTGGGTGGCCTCAAAGTCACCCAGGGTTCTCAGCCAGAGGGGCTGAGTGGCTCCAGGAAGAAATGACTTGTAACAGGAAAGAACTGCCTTTTCAGTCCTTTCTGGGTTTTCTGGATCACAGTTGGGATCCTGGAGCCAGGAGGTTTCTTAGAGCTCCGGGTGGGACGAAATCCCCATTCCTGGGTCCATGCATCTTTCATATTTACGCTACATTTAGATTTGATTCAAAGCTCATGGACGCATCATAATTTAGAGGTTGCTGGACCATATTGAATATGAATACCCCACTATCCTCGTAGTTATGAATTTTATTAAGTATAAAGAGCAGGTGCATACAGAGTCCAAAACAGTAGGTTGAATACACATGTCGACATAACAGTAAGATCGGTAGTTTCCGGGGACTTATCAAACTGCTTGTACAAAACAGTCATCTCTATAAGCTAGTCAGTGGAAAGAAACAGGCCTAAACTTCTGTATTAGTATAGAGTATAAGTATAAGTATACCATGCCTATCCCTCAACACTGCCTGAGGTATGAACTGCGCTAAGATATTTTAATTATCTGGTAGGGGATAAGGATAGGGAGCTAAACATGTAGGGAGGGACAAGACTATGGAAAGGGTCTATGTAATTTGCCATATTACCTGAATGTAAATTAGACTTTAAAGTAAAACTAGTCAACATCTGTTACACTGTTAGACAGAGACTTGTACCAGCAAGTGTAGGTCAAAGAAATATTTTCAGTCTACATTTTAGGAAAAGGCTTAGCTAGGGGACGTGAGGACTTGATTAGATATCATGTACGTATAGTACATCTACGGTCTTTCATCCAGCATAACCAGTTGGCATTAAATGTATCCCATTTGAAATGGGCTTTTACATGGAGCATTTCACAGTGGGCATGGGTATTCGGTATTTAGATAACAACATATAAACTAGGGGTTTCTACTCGCTTCCAATGTCACGCCAGATCTAATCTGGAGGCTATCAGTGTGTGAGAAACAAAAGGTACGTTGGTTGGGGGGCCAAAGCTCTATACCAATCCCTAATAGTGCTAACTGAAGTGATGGAGAGCAAGCAAGGTGTGTCACAGAAGAAATACATCTAAATATAGCAGCCCAAAATGGTTTCAATGCAATACAGTACCACCAGATGTGGGTCAAAGAGCCAGTTTTTCCACAATTACGCCAACAGTAGGAGGACG